AACTAGACAATCTACACCCCCCCCCTATGTAGCTCAAAATAACTGTTGGAGATTCCGCTAATTGATGCCATGTTATGGTTTGACCACCACTTGTTCGTTTCCAACCTGATCCTATATCAGTTGACACAGACCGTTGAGGAAGGCGATCACTAGGCATGCGTAATACATCTCCAAGCCATCTCAGCTGACTCATATTAACAGCCTCATCGATTGATATTCCCTCCCTACCTAACACTCAACGCCTGACTTCAATACTATAACATGGGAGATAGACAGAGACACCTATGATAAAAACAGCTAGCCTTTTCATGTCGTCCAGTTTTAATGGTAGTGTCTCACAGCCATAAGTGGAAACGGAGCGAACTTCTGTGCAGTACACGTATCCTTTGATCGATAGCCGAATATCAATCACATCTACGCCGGAGATGATGTAGGTTAGCAAACACCACACGAACCATTTGTATCCGTGATGAGATTTCATCAGTGATCAGTCCTTTAGGGTTGATGCCGATCACTTCATTCCCTATCTTCAAGCTACGAGTAGATGCAGTCCAGTCCTGCAGCATTATCTTACATTTGAAGGAAGCGAATCACATGTCAAATATTCGAAGACTGCTGATCCTCAAGATGTTCAGGAGACTATGTATCTTACAAGAGATCTAACAGACCACTCAACCACCGAAAATTGAATTTCAACTCCTGTCAAAGTGACTGAGGGATCTATAAGTCCTCCTTTTAACTGAAAAGTCCTCGGTTCGAAACTTTTTGAAGAGGCTCAGACTAGGACGAAACACCTGTCCAATACTCCCTAGTTTTCCAATAGCTATTTCACTAACCAGTGTCAGCTTGTGATGAAATCTGTAGTCAATAAAATCCCTGGAAACCAACACTAGGAAAGTCACTGTAAGAATTATGCAACAGGAATCCTAAATGAATAATTACAATCAACACAATGTATGTGTTTTCATTTTGGAAGATTAAGATTTTGTAAAGGCATGTTCTCCCATACAGTAGGTATGTTGAAAAAGATTTAAAAAGTACAGACTTTGTTTAGAAATGATCAGACTGCCCAATATAAATATTACACAAATGCATTACACACTCCCGATTGACCTGGAAAAATACGTTACACAATTAATAATAATAATAATACGCAAAAGAAACAGATATATTAGAGAATAAAGCAAGAAAAAAAGGAATATTATCTCTGAATAATCTTCAGTTTGTTATTAACAAATGAGTTCTAGAAAGTATAACGATCGTACAGATAGAGAAATAGTAATTCGAAATGTTCAAGTATTGGTTTTGTAGGGATTTTGTTTGATTGCATGGAGGATTTAATCATGAGCTGACATCAGTTAGAGAACCATTGGAAAGCCAACAGGGAGTACTGGACAGCTGTTTCGTCCTAGTTTGGGACTCTTCATCAGTACGCACCCACCGGGATTCGAACCCAGGACATTCTGGTTACAAGGCGAGCTCGTAGACCATTGAGCCACTGGTACCCGATCCAATGGTTCTTGAATTCCAACTTCTGCCAATTCACGACATAGCGCGACCACTTCGCAATGTCTTCTTCGATGAGTTACTGCCTCACCTTTAGCCTGCTGTATCCTTCGAATCCCGGTGGGTGCGTACTGCTGAAGAGTCCCAAACTAGGACGAAACAGCTGTCCAGTACTCCCAGGTTTTCCAGTGGTTCTCTAACTGATGTCAGCTCATGATTAAATCCTCCATGGAATTCGAAATGTCTTGAAAATAATGAAGTAACACTACACTTGCTTTTAGAACATCAAAAAGAAAAGGAGGTTAGTCGAAATAGATAGAGCAAGGTGCGCATTGTGTTACCACAACTATCATCTTGTGATTAATCAATTTTGAGATATGTACTTACTACTTAAATGTTTTTCAAGTATTCATCACTATATAAATACCTTAGAAATCTTAATCAGGACAACTTAAAAGTGAGATTTAGATCAATATAGCGAAAATATTCATTCAAACATCTATAAAAAAACAAAATAATTGAGCAAAGAATATTCTTTTCGATAAATTCCTCTTCTGGCTCTACAATTATATATACATAGAATATTCTAGAATAGTAGTCAATAAAAATATTAGTGTTTTCTAAATAATATCGATTTGTAAAGTAAGATTAATGGAATCACAATTCATTAAAGATGCTTAAATTATAATAGTAATAAAGATATAATTGCGAATAGAATATCAAATAAAATTAGGGAAATTTCCACAAAAATTGAGGATCATTCATACCTAGATGGCCAAGGTAACGATAATGTTTGAACTGGCTTCTTTTGGACGCATAAATTAGGCTTATTAATGTGCATCCCAACAGCCTCAGCAATATTTAGTAATCGAACTCTTAACGCGAAGTTAAGATTTGTTGATATGCGCGGTAAATGACTCTGAAAGCCTTGTTAACATCAATCCTGTGTTCTGTATCCACAAGATGAGATAGAATAACACCACGAATAGATTTTGTTTGACCTTTGCTAACCACTATTCAGGGTGATGTTCGGAAATTCGACGAGAAACACGCCTAATTGTACGGTCTATGTAACTGGCTCCTCAGAAGCAGTTCGATTACTGAATATTGCTGAGGCTATTGGGATCCACATTAAGAAGTCTAATTTATGCTTCCAGAAGAAGCTAGTTCAGACATTATCCTTACCTTGGACATCTAGGTTTGAATGATCCTCAATTTGTTGTGGAAATTTCCCTAACTTTAGTTGATATTCTGTTTGCTATTATATTACTATTATTATTATTATTGTTATTATTATTATTATTTAGGCATCTTTAACGAACTGTAATTCTATTAATCTTTACAAATCGATATTATTTAGGAAATACTAATATTATTAATAACGTCTATTCTAGAATATTCTATGTAGATAAACAAATGTATAATTGTTGATCCAGAAGAGAAAATAGTCGAAAAGGATATTCTTTGCTCAATTATTTTGTGCTTTATAGATTTAGATCAGCTGTTAGCAGTAACAGCTGCAGTTAGCGAAAAATTACATCTTTGTTTTGTTAAAAAAAACAGCACAGTTAATTCGATTTAGTTATGGATCAAGATGCACATCACATGGCTTAGATATTTCTTTACGTCATATTTTGATAGTATATTATTTTATAGTACCAAAAAACAGACACTTTATTTTTTTTTAATGGGATATACTATAAAAACACACTTACAATCATTTTTTTAATGTTGTATGTTTCCTAAAGTTTTATATATAGTGAGCCAAATGAAAGACAGGAGGCAGGAGTTAAACATTTAAGCAGGAATTTGTATTGCGTTATATATGTCACAGTTACATGTATGTACTGTGAGAGTGCTGAGAGTATTGAATAATCGTAGAATGAATAACCAGAAGAAATGTCCAGTAAATCCTAAGAGTAGTGGTGATGAATTGTTGTCTGCACTAACTAAGCTATTAGATAATGTCTGGGAATCAGAGATATTTCTGTTAGACGGCTGGTGTATCCAAGTTCATAAGAGGGGAGATAAATCTTCGGAGGATTAGCTTGACTAATCTAGCATCCAATGATTCTAGGCTCAATAATAATGCTTAGGTTAAGTGGTGCTCCAAAGAAACAAAACACGAGAAAACCTGGTAAACTTTAGAGTAACAAGAGGGTGTGTATTGATCATATCCTCCTCTAACAGATTCTGGAATACAGGCATACTTACCCGCATTGAACAACTGCCGGGTTTCTTGATCTGAAGGCGGAACTGGACTCCGTTGAACTTAAGGCATTATGGCAGTGTTTGGCTGTGAGGTGAATACTGAAGAAGAATATCACACTAACCACGACATTCGACTTGGAATCGCGAAGCCGTGTAAGAGTTTCTGAAAACAACTAACAGTATCGTTCAGGGATGTCCTCATTTTTTGTTTAATTTCATTACAGATGTAATAATGAAATTGACCATAACTAGCTTTACTGACTAAGGAATTGGTTTGTCTTTGACATTTGGTTTGAGCTATGTAGGAAGGTGTGGACTGCTTGGCTGGTCGGAGTCCTTGGAATGGTAACTATCAATGGATGGAGACTACTGAAAATTATTCTCAATGGCGCAAATATGTTCACTCATTGTGATCTCCAATATCCATGGAAAAACCCCCATTTTTATTAATGGTACTATTCTTTATCCTTCACCTTTCAGCGTATTAAATTACTCTTGTGAATACATTTTTCCTCCATTTTGTCTATCTGTGTGTTCTATGTGGAATGTGACAACTTGAACTGCCGCACTTCTGGGCGAAGTCCCCGAAAAGATTTGAAGTGTATAATCATCTTGAATTACCGTGGATTTTCATCCTCAGCTCATTAGCATCTCGTATCCAAAAAATAAAACGATTATGAATGATACAATGATTTAACGACGGGTTCAAAGGCGATCCTAATCCCAAAAGACTGTAAATATCCTTGAACTTCTTTTTCTAATTCCTTCACGTTCCCAGTGGAACATAAGGTTTCAAGCTAGAGGCTTGAAGTTTCTGTAGCAGTGTTTATTTTAGAGGATGTGGTCGCTAGCCTCATGCCCAACCTTACCTCTTCACCAGGATTATTTCTGGCTTAGCGAGATAAAGAAGTGCGTTGGCGGCCGGAGATCGAATCCCGGACCATGTACATGGTCAGCGAGCGTCCTAACCGCAATGCCAACAGCGCACATCTTGAAATCCTCCTCGTCCTCAACTGTAAGTACTTTCGCCTTATTTCAAAAGCATATAAAGATTGATAAAAGGTTGCATAGAGTATCAGAAAATCTATTCAGGTGTTTCAATGAGAGAAAAGAAACCATTTTACCCAATAAAAACTACTACTTTACTACATGTTCTAGTAAATATAGCAGAAATACCTTTTTTTCAAAAAATCTTCATGTGAATGTGAAAAAACAAAAATTAGTTGAATAAGCAAACAGAAAAAAGGAGAATGCAAAAAAAATTGCTTGTTTATTATTCTAACCTCAGGAATATACTTTGGACGAGCTGGATCACATTTACGCTTTTCTACCGATTCAGCAACTGCTTCGATACGCCCCCTGTCTGTACTACAAATCACAGCATTGAGAGCATCACTGAAATCTACACTCTACTCAGAATAAGAGAAGAAAAAAATGAAAAAAAAAGTAGAAGAAAAAGTGAATATTGCAGAATTTGCTTTTCGATTGTTAAAAGACCATGATTAAAACTATATTGCGAAATAATGACTGTGGTAGTAACAGTCTTCATTGGGTCATGAAACAAAATAAAATGTTCATTCAACTAACATTAAACTTGGCTGGTGACGTAAATAACCCGCCCCCCTCCCCCCTACAATATATTCATATTGAGCTTAGAAGTCTATCTAAAGCTGGACCATTTTTCTCCTTGTGCTACCTACCATTCAAGTATAAATAGCTTTTTATCATGATAAAAATGATTTTCAGAATGCCATAGCAACTGAGTTAGACACTAACCAATAAAGCCAATGCAGTAGTAGAACAACAATTAAGAAACTTGTGTGACAGTATATACATCTAACCCAACACTAATCAATAGGCATTTCGTCAACAATAAGGAGAATCTAACCAAGGGACAACAGAAGTATGCCGAAGCTGAACTGGTGATCAAATGCCAAAAACAGCTTTATTCTGGAAATTAATAACAAGACGCTACATACTACTGACTAATCGATATGAGTAGTTGGATACCACTCACACCAACCAGTAGTACTTGCCAGCCAGATCGAAGCAGGCCATTCCACTTGCCTGAGCTCATCAACTGTGTATCTGGTTTGATAAAGCTCACAGAGTCGAATCAGTTTAAACCGTCCAACGACATCCCGACGATGAGCTCAGTCTTAGATCAGGTAAATGGCAGTTCAGTGTTTAGACCACTTCGATCTAGCTAGTAAGCACTATTGGCTAATATAAGTAGTACCCAACGACAAATATCGATCAATTTGTATTACACAGTACCGTGTATTTATAACTAGTTTCTTGATTGTCAGTTTCCAAAGGAAACTGCGGAAGAACTTCACCTCCACCTGTGTAAACTGTAAATCGCAAATTAAATTGCCAGTTGGGATTTCAATCCAATAAGCTAGAATATATATATAGTAAAGAATTCTCAGAGTAACAAAATGCACAATATTTATTGACAGTATAACGAACCGAGAACAGTTAGAGATCATTGAAAACGAGAGCCCTTACGGTTGTTTCATCCTAGTTTGGAACTCTTCAGAAGTGCACACCCACACCCCACCAAGGATAGCATCCTTCAGATTAGAAGATTAAACTCGTTGACTAGTCAACCACTAAGGCCGGAATTCAGTGCCCCGTGAAAATAACCCCCATAATCTAAGTATTCAAATCCTTCAAGAAATGGGCAGTATCACGTTGAAAGTTAATTAAAAATGTGCGTGATTTCATTTCGTGATCCAAAGACATAATTTCATGATTAAAACAATAAGAAATAGAGAAGTGTTTATACATTATGGTGGATAGGAAATTAGGTAACCTAGTGATTTTTAAGTACGTCACCATAGTAGCAAAAGTTATAAACCCAGGTATTAGAGACAGTGGAACACCTTCAAAGTGACAGAATTGCTAAGCTACCGATATCTCTTTTCACAAAACTTATACAGTTGTACTCAAGTGTTGGTTTTGTAGGAATTTGATTGGTTACAGGATTTCATCATGAACTGACATCGGTTAGAGAACCATTGGAAGACCAACAGGGAGAACTGGACAGCTGTTTCATCCTAGTTTGGGACTCTTAGGCAGTACGCACCAACGACCAGGGTTCGAACCCAGGACTTTCTGGTTACAAGGCTAGCGAGGTCGTAGACCATTAAGCCACTGGCCAGTGCATGAATTATAACTCCTGCCAATTCACGACATAGCGCGACCACTAGCCAATGTCTTCGGTGAGTATTTGTCCTCACACCTCACCTGCTGCACCCTAATGGTCACGACTTCTCACTAGAACCCAGGTAACTAACTACCTGAATAAGGGATTCGCTAGTGAGCATCTTCTCATCGATACATTTTAATGTATATGCCCTATTTTATTTCATGTCTTCTGCTTTCATAAGAAAACACATTGAACAAAGTGTCTTAGCCTTCTAAAAAAATGTTACTTCCTTAGACTATCATCACCTCCACTAGGCACAAATTTGTTATCTGAAGTGCATGCAGGATAAGAGAAAATTCAATCTTTAAACTCTCATCTATCAAAACAACTATTTATTCGCCAAGTTTATCATTACTTCTCCTATCAATAATTTTATTTTTTCAAGATGTCCTCAGCATAATAACTTAAACAGTTTTTTTTCTTAATGCCTTAGCTGGCTGACTATGCACCAAAACTTCTGTGGACTAGCATTTAGTCTTACCTACTGTAATTTCAGGCAGCACAAGAGGGTGGAGTTTAGTTACCACATAAAAGAGAGATAGATAATCAGTGTACGAAAGTACATCTGCTCAATCTATTCCGCATTTGTAATAGCATAAACAAGAAATAAAAAACAATGAGAAGGTAACAAAATAAATGAGAAGATCGTGATCTATAGCAAATAATAAACACTAGTAAGGAGTTCAAAATAATTATTACGAATAGCAACAACAACAGACAACAATCAGCATAAATGGGAGAAATCTGAGAGAAGCAACCTCCTTTATCTACCTGGGAACCATCGTTTCAACTACAAATGAGCGGAACTGATGAAGATATGAAAGCGAGGATTGGGAAAGCAAGGCAAGCTTTCATTTCTCTCAAGTCTGTGAGTATACCAACAGCACTCAGTATGGAAAATAAGATGCAGATTTTCAACTCCAATGTGAAGTCAGCGCTACTATACGGATCAGAGACTTGGCGCGTCACAAAGAGCAACTCAAACAAACTACAGACCTTCATTAACAGCTGTCTTCACTCAATACTCAAGACCAGATGACCAGAAAAGATCAACAATAGGGATCTCTGGGAGCGAACCAACCAGGAACCGATTTTGAAACAAATAGGAAGGAAGAAATGGAGATGGACTAGCCATACTCTGAGGAAACCACTAAGTGAAATCACTAGACAAGCCATTGAGTGGAACACGACAGGGAAGCGTGAGTTGGTCGTCAGTACGAGGGTGATATGGAGGAGGTGATGTGAAGAGGAGATGAAAGCCTGTGGGTAGATGTGGAGCCAGGTGAAGACTCTAGCAGACAACCGAACGCAATGGAGACGCATGGTCGAAGCCCTATGTTCCTCTAAGAATTAGAGGAAATAATAATAAATAATACTAACATTCCTGTGTAATATGATCGATTTTAGCACAAATCAACTAGAAACTTCAACATCTTAACGACTACAGATAGATGAAACACACTTCTCACAAAAAAGTATGAATTAGTTCACTAAATGGCAGAAAAAAGTATTGTTATGCCTGCTGGTTTACATACTTTGACCCTCACAGTATACAGAAATCAGAAGTAAGCTTGAATTTGCAAGCCACTGTGAAAACAATGACAGTTATTTCCAGGCGGCATGCCGAACTCTCTCCACGCACTTTGCGTTCGGTGAGCTTCATTTTGTCGTTAGCGATGCTAACTCCTCCTACATTATCAGTATTTCAAAATACTATCTGAAAAGTCGTCATGATAAGGTATAAAATTGTCTACAGACACAAATTTACCCTTAAGTCATTTTCAAGACTTTTAACGCTTAAATCATCCATTATTTACACACTCCCTTGCCTCGGATGAAATTTTTGCATTCCTTTAATAGCAATACACATTCGTATATAGAGATATCCGTCGGCACCAACTAATCACGTGTAGTCGACGCAGTATAAAACCCCACCCAGATAATAGGAAGCATGGTAAAGAGGGCAGGCTAGGCGTGATGCTAGCCAACCCTACCCCTTAACAAAAAATACTTCTGCTACTGAAGTGCCAAAGCTCAAGTCTGAAGCCATGTGTTCTACTCAGAAACCAAAGGCATAAAAAGAAAAAAGAAATTTAGAAGTGCAGCATACTATAGGTGGAGAGAATACTTGTACCTTAGAGGGTGAATCTGTCTGTCTGTTTTCGACATTGAACTTTGCACCAATGTGCAGCACTTCAAGTCGCCACACTCCCTTCTTGTAACACACAAAGCAACAGAAGAAAGTAGGAGAAATGCATAATAGAGACAGAAAACAGGAATATGAGACAAAAGGAATAGTAGTAACGAAGAACAATATAGTTTCATTGGAAATCATAAGTCACAAGGAGGGGATGCATCTTCGCCAGCCATTGAGAACGATTTTGAGCCATGTCACCAATTGTTTCCAACGATTGGTTTTTATGTCCCGACGACCCCAACCCGGGAAGTCCACACCTTCCTAAATGACTGGCTGGCTTAAACTAACTGTTGTGGATTTCATTGGCTGATGAAGCCATGTGTTTGGTTTGACCGCTGCCACCTCTTTTGCAACCTGACCCATCCTATGTCAGCTAACATTGCCCGTAGGCGATGACTAGGCATACGTAACACATGTCCTAAACATCTCAGTCGATGTAATTTCACAGTCTCGTCGATTGATTTCCCCTCCTTACCTAGCACTCGGTGCGTCGGTGGTATAGCGGTTAGGACTCTCGCCGACCATGCATTTGGTCCGGGGTTCGACCCCGGCCGGCGCACTCCTTTACCTCACTGAGCCAGAAATAATGCTGGTAAAGAGGAAAGGTTGCGCATGAGGCTAGCAACCCCATCTTGTAAAAATTAAACACTGCTACAGAAACTTCAAGCCACTGGCTCGGAGCCCTATGTTCCACTGGGAACGTGAAGGAAAAATTATTTATTTTTACCTAGCACTCAACAAACGCCTAACCTCAATATCGCTCACCTTATTATACCACTTCACACGGGAGATAGAACGCAGGCACCTATGATCGAAGACAGCTAATCTTTTCATGTCTTCTACTCTTAATGGCCAGGTCTTACAGCCATGAAGCAGGACGGAGCGGACTGCCGAGCAGTACAAAAATATTCACCCTCTAAGGATGAATATTTTGGTCAAAGTGTTCTCCAGAGCCACTTTTCATTCACTCATGATTCTCTATGATATTCTAGTCATCATCTACTGCGTGATTACAATCACACTTCTATAAAGACTATGAATTATAGCATAAATGCTAACCATGTCGTAATAGACTTCTAAGTTATTGGTGCTTTATCCACCCCCCCCCCAACCCAGTCTCTGCATTTCACTGTTACAACCGATTCTAAGGTGTTCATCACATTGCATAGAATAATCTAAAGTCCTGGAATGAAAAAAAGCGTCAACAAGCATAATCCTATAATGCATATTAGATGTGCATAAAAAAACTACATTAGAATGCATTCAGCTGTAGTAAATTACACTTTCTAACAATTGAAGCTTACTACTAAGAAAAATTTACACTGAAAATATCTAATGGATTTAGAACATACACCTGGTGTCTCATATAACGTGAATAACAAACGTCATAAAGTACACAACTAATTTTGATGTTTTAAAGCTAAAGAAGTAATCAAAGATTTATTTGCACAATAAGAAGGTTACTACTTAAAATTAATTTGAGTAGTTGATTTCGGAAGAAATACAATAAATTAATAATCATCTTACATCGAATGGAAAATATGTAGTAGCGAATTTCATGTGTCTAGACCTTGGTTTGATGTAGGCTGAATTCTATCAGTTGTGTTTGCAATTTGGTCATCATGTTAAGTGGCTGGCTATCACGGTGCACTCTGAATTGTTGTTACTAGATGGTTGGAGGCAATCGCTAGGAACTCTGGGATCTGGGTCTCGTGCTTGTTGGCACTCACCGGTCAACAAGGCAAACCTGAAATCCTGAAGGAACTCATGTTCAACTATCTAACGTCAGTTCAGTGTGCACCATGATGGTGATTAACCTAGCTTGGCGACGACACTGTTAACTTGACTGCTAGAATTCAGTCTGCACCAACCCAAGGATTAGACAACTAGAGAGTCCTCCAGGAGGTCAATCGCAAGCCAGAATAGCTTAGTGACAACGTTTCTGATTGTAACACTGCGTAGCATGGGTTCTCACTTCAGAGGGGACATGCGTTTCTTCAAGACTGCAGATACGGCGTACCTGAAGTCTTTATCAACCTCATCCAACAACACTGGGCATGCCAAACATTCGTAGATTGCAGCTCAAGGTGTTCAGAGGACTCTGCTGTATTTTGTCAGCATCTTCACCTAGAAGGACTATATCATCTGCATATTCTAAGTCAACTAGACTATTATTCCCTGGTAACAAGTCAATCCCTGAGTTGCTGAAGTGGGTCAGGGTTAAGTCCATTAGTACATTTATGTTGAAATTGAATAGAAATGGGGATAGTGGGCATCCCTGATGGATACCACTAGCTGTCATCGAGTGGAACCCGGATGGGAAACGAAGAGTGAGGCATCCGACGGTGACATAGCGGAGATAGTAGAAGGAAGAGGAGGATGACAGACTATGGGCAATCGTGGGTTTTCAACTTAAGAGGACCGCAAAGAATAGGAAAAAGTTGCGAGGGACTGTTGAAGCCCAATGTTCCACTCGCAACCCAAAGGAAAAATAATAAAATAATAATATACTTAGTGGTATTGTAATGTCGACAAAAACAATCAACTAAGACGCGTAACCAGTTCGATTACAAAGTGTCATGGTTCAAACCAAATGGACAAAATTTCACTTAATTTATTATACAACCTTTCGTGGGGTAAAACTAATAAGTTATACATATAGGGGGACGGGTAGAAAAAAAGGCATAACCAAAGATTATTCTTACTGTAAGTGATTGAATTCCAAGTGGTACTAAATGACTACAACCTTCATTTGGTTCAGATGGTAAAAATTGGCATATACAATTATCCATATTATCAAATAATGCAGCCCATTTTGGATATTGATTAGTTTTGCATATTGCTGATGTAAACCATGTTTCACGTGAACTAACTAAGAATTCCCCGTTACTTATCCACATAGCTTCACGTCCCATAAAACCATGCACTGGTTTCCAAGTGATTTCTCCAGATTCTGATGTAAAGCATACGGAATCATTTAAATCCCATATACCAGCTATACGTTCTAAGCCTAGGGTTGTGAAAAAAAAAGAAAAATAAAGGCAAGCAGTATTATGAATTAAAATTAATTAATGACGTATACAAAGAATAAGGCTAGACGTATATCTGATTTCCTTTTATTTATATTATTCAAGATATTTTATTTCATATATAAGATAATGTCATGCAGGGAGTGTCATTGACAAGAGTCTATAAACATGGGAATTTTGTTTATTAGAATTTATTGGTAGTATGCGTATGAGAAGTCCATAAAATAAGTGAGTATCAGTGTACACCTTATCTAACATAATCAGATAAAATACAATCAACGTAATACTGTGCGGTGAATTAATGTCAGATGTACTTCAGAGATGAAAACAAATAAAGAACCATTGGAAATCAAAGAGTACTGGAGAGCTGTTTCGTCCTGGCTTGGGAATCTTTACCATCAGCACATATCCACCAGGATTCCAACCCACGACCTTCCGGTTACAAGGCGAACTCACTGGGACTATTTAGCCATTAGGAACCGACCAAATGACGTACGAACTCTAGCAGCCGATGTCAGTGGCGGCGAGTATTTATCTTCACTCTCCACCAGGCGGACCCAATTGGTTATGACTTCTCACTAGAAACTCTAGACGACTTCATCCTGTACCCAGTCGCTAGCGAGCATCATAGGGATTCGAAAATTAATGTGATAAATACTTGCCACTGACATTGGCTGGTGGTCGCACTAAAAAATCACAGTTTGATAAAAGCTAGAGTTCATAGGTCATTTGTTCGGGTCTCAGTGGTTGAAATGTCTCAACGAGTTTGCCTTGTAACCGGGAGGTCCTGGGTTGGAATCCTGGTGGAGGTGTACTGATGAAGAGTCCCAAGCCAGGACGAAACAACTCCCCAGTACTTCTTGGTTTTCCAATGGTTCTTCAGCTGATGTCTGCTTGTTACCTAGCGTGAAACAAGTAAACTCCCTACAAAGTAACTATTGAAAATAAAGAATAATTAGGATAAGTTTCTTGAAAATATGAATATATAACATTTCAATTCAATAAATATCACTTAAGTTTATACGTTCGTGGTAAAGTGAACTTGAAAAGTGCTTGGAACACTGATCACTTTTCTTTAAATGGTTACAGTATTAAGTTGAGCAGACCTGTGGAGTGCTATATTACTGACTTTGTGAGTCACAATTTCAATTTCTTGATAATTCAACGCAAACATTTGTGGGTTTCATATGTAGTAAGTAGTCAAATAAATTGGAACTAGCTGTTTAACACAAATAGATTACATAAACATCCAAGTTTGATCGAGGATCGATATCAGTTAGAGAACCATTAAAAGCCAGGAAGTTATTTCGTCCCGGTTTGGGACTCCTCACCAGTACGCATCCATGGCCCCACCAGAAATCGAAGCTAGGTTAGAAGGCGAGCTCATTGACTATTTAGCCACTTGGAACGGAATCCAATGGCCTATGAAATCGCGTTTCTGTCAAGCTTTATTTTTGACTAACTCATTGAATAAAATAGTTGGTTATCAACTGAGCTTCAGTTGAAAAATGCGCTTTTTTCTCTTCCTGAATTCATTAACACTTAAAAATTACATGAAAAATATTTAGAGCTATATAACAAAGAAATCAAATCTTTTTTTATTTCACAAAAGGATAGTATCATTAGAGTACTCTTGGTACAGAAGTACTGACAACTAGTGTAACACCAAATATTGATAAGCACTTGTCAGCTTTCATCAGTGCAGTTCGTCCTGTCCTTCTTCATGGTTGTGAAACATGACGATTCAAAGCGGAAGATCCTAGGAAGCTAGCCGAATCTGACCACAGGTGTTCTACATTCTATCTCGTATGCTAAGTGGTATATTATGGTAATACTGAGGTTAGGTGTAGTGTCAGGTGAGTCAGGGTAAGTCAATCATGAGGTTGTGAAGCTTCATCGCATACCAAACCATCACATTCCTCAATGAACAATATAAGCTGACATAGAACTATATGCAGGAAAAGAGTTAAAGGTGATTAAATCAAAATAAGATATCAATCCATGCAGATGTTAACTGCTAGTCTGAGTCAAATAGGTGGGGTTGGGGTCATCAGGAAACTAAGAACCGATAGCTGGAGATTCTTGGTGAAATGTCTTAAAATCATTTTCAATGGCACAGATAAATGCACTCTTTATGAACTCGTAGATCTATTAAATTTTCATTATTCTCCATATACTAATTTTTTCTCCGTCCATTTTCGTTCATTATAGTTCCATTATATTATTCCTCCTGCTTTTATGCACTATAGTAGAGTGTGGTAGCTTGAACTGTTGCACTATTGTGCAAAGATCTTAGTGAAAAACTCAGCCAATCAGTATTTATTGAACTCATGAAACTCGATAGGACTTGTTGGCAGATTACAAGGCTTTTGTAGGATTCGGAATGTACATTTCGTTCATTTTGAAACTTTCCATTTGGATGTAACGATAACCTAGTACGATTTCATTTACACACTGGAAATGGAAGTCAGTGTTCATTCAGTATTGACTAATCTCTTCATTGACTTTCAATAACCATATCTTGTTCAAATTAAAAATTATGTAGCTCAATTATGGATGAGATTTTATTTTGATAAATCACACAGTGTTGTACAGTAATATTAACTGATAACGATGTTTCGAGCATAAATAATCGCTCATAATCATATCAGGCATTCACACAACTTGGAATTAGATGGTTAGAAGCAATCGGCCACAGGAAGCCTTGGACCTAGGTTTCGTGCTAGTTGGCACTAGTCAGCAAGGCGTATCTGCAACCTTGAAGGAACTCATTTCCCTTCTGAGATTCGAACCCGCATCCCCCAGTGCTGCAGTCAGAGACGTTACCATTGACCTATTCAGGCTCGCGATTGACCTCCTGTAGGACTGTAGTGGATATTTTTGATTGCACACTAGTCAGCAACTAGTGTAATGTGTCTTTTCCTATCTTCCCCCTGCAGACTGAATTCTACCAGTCAAACATCTCACAGTGCACCGTAATGGCGAGCCACCTAGCATGGTGGCCACACTGCAAGCTTGACTAGTAGAATTCAGTCTGCACCGAAGATAGGACTAGACACATTACACTAGTTACTGACTAGTGTGCAATCAAAAATATTCACACAACTTTTTTACTTAGTTAAGTGCCTAACAAACCGAGCAATAGCACTAAGTAGCACAAAAAAAAGACCTAAACAATGAAATGAAACAGATAGAAGAGGCGTTGGTGTTAAATAACTATCCTATAAAATTCACTAGGAAGATCAAAAAAGGACAAAATAAAAATAATTGTGAAACTAATAATGACAACACGAATTAGAGAGAATATAAGGCATCTACAGTTTTACCATATAAGGAGGGGACATCTGAAGCTCTACGTAGGATTCTCAATAAAGCAGGAATTAGGGTGACATTCTAACCTACAAACGCATCCAGAGACAAGCTCTGTAGGTTAAAGGACCCAGTGGACCCAATAAGACAAAATAATATAACTTACAACATACCTTGCATTGACAGTGAATTAAGTCAACTACATAGATCAGGAGCAGTGAGATCATCAGAACATAAGAATTTAGCCAAGTTTAGAATGAGTGACCCCAAAAAGATAAAAAATTTAAACAAAAACTCAGCAATTGCATTACATGTACTCACACACAACCACACAATACGGTGGGACAGGGTTGAAATTCTAAGAAGTAATATGGGTAGGTGGAGAGAGGGATTGATTACTGAATCCTGGTTCACCCAGTCTACACCCAACACATGGAACAGAAATGACTCAAAGCAAATAACAGAGATATGGAAGATATTATTACCACCAGTCAGTCAAATCAGAAGAGGATAATAGATAATCTCAAAATTCTATTTTAATTCAAGCACATCATAACATTCTAACAAGTTACTTATTATGACTATAAAAACACTCATCTTATTTCCCATCTAATTGTAATTGATCAATAACACTCGTATTATTATTTCTGAATGTACACTATTCCATATTGATTTTTATTTAAATATCTAGTCAATTCCACTCATGTATATAAATGAAGGAAGGATAAAATTTGTGTGAGTGACCTGATATGATTTTGAGCAGCAATAATTTGTGCTCAAAACATCGTTATCAGTTAATATTACTGTACAACACTGTGTGATTAATCAAAATAAAAATCATATCCATAATGGAGTTACACTCTACCACCACAGTGTTCAAGTTTTATACACAGATCAAAAAATTATTATTAGGTTATTAACAAGTATAATTAGTAAGAGAAAAACAAATTGAGTACTTATTTATTCATTACTTACCTTGAACAAACAACATTTTCCCGTTTAAAGGATGAAGTGATATTGATGTGACTGGACTATTAGTCAAACGAGACATTTTCACTGGTGCTAAGTGATTGTACTTTGGAGAATAGACTAATTCATTAAGACTACTCAAGTTATAACAGCATACATAACCTGAATGGGAAAAAGTGAAAATTGAAAGAAAAATGATTTTTTTTTTTGAAAATCAAGTGAACGCGGTGAAGACAATAATAAGGAAATTGTAGATTGAACAATGAACAGTTCTTTTTCTTTGAATAACCTGTTTTGATAATGCCATTACATTATAATAAACTGAAACGTCATCAGTTAATCGTACTGTAGAACACTGTGTGATTTATCAAAATAAAATCTTATCCATGATGGAGTTATACTCTACCACCACAGTGCCCAAGTTTTATACTCATATGAATATATTTATGAAATTATAGAAAATTACTCTGAGAATTCTGTCGCCTAGGTATATACCTAGGTCCGAGGGTCCTGCCGATTATCTCCAAACATCTAATATTTTTCTGGATCATTTCAGTATTATATATGTCCACACCAAGTCCACTTTTAACAGTTTGAAAAAATTTGGCCATTGGTTATATGATATTCATTATAATAAAGGGTTTTTTCTGTATTTCCCAATGAATGAAAAACAAAACGATATCGTTGTTTTTACTGACGTTTCGCGATTTAATGCTGCTGCTAACAGGTTTATCTAACTATTATTAAACCAGAATTTACAAAATCTCAGCTTATATTATGCAACAACGTAATCATAGTTCCTCAGTACGGGGTCATTTTCACGTTGACAAATCGGCCAATTGGTAAAGATAACCAAATCAGGTGTAGATTTTTGGATTTGATAAATGTGCAAAATTATGAAAGCAGTGTGTGTTTACATAATGAAATTGCTTATCACATTCATGTTGATTCTGTCATTTCATGGGCTTCGTGTGTGTCGTAACCAAGTCAAATTCTGTTTTAGCTCATTATTTCTAATCAGACAATGCTTTAAACAGTACCATTTCCAGGAATCTCCTTGAAACGAGTCGTGAGGTGGACGTCGAAAAGTCGTTCAAAATTGTCAATAGGCAAAAGAGCTCAATTCTCCTCAAGTTTGCTGAAGCTATTTCCATCAAGTGCCTGAAACCTGATTTGTGCGTTCAGAAAGAAACAGTTATCAGTCTTTCTTTGGCCATCCTGGTAACTGGATATTTTCATCTCTCTTTCATCTGAATGCGTAATGCTGAAACGTATCCATTGTGTATGATTATTATTGTTCGGAATAATGTTTAATATTATATATATATATATATATATATATATATAATTAGTGTATGCGTATATTGATCGATTGATTTTTCACAAGAACGGATACTGAACAAAAAGTACTCTTTTCGATTACTTCATAATCAGGCTCTACAGTTATAAAAACATTATAATGAATGAATGAATTATTGTTTAAAATGAACTCTGTGCAAGTATGTTAAAATTCTTTTTGTAGATATATTTATTAAAATCTTTGGCCTGTAAGCAGCTGACGAGAAGGTAACGAAATAAAAGATGGTACCACTTTATCCTGTAAAAACTGTAGTTCTTGCTTTGTTCAAATTCATTAAGGCAAACAAATATATGAAATTCGGATTCCACTTGACATGATGTATTAGAGGTTCTTTGTGATTTCTGAAATCTTTTTGGATTATTTCAATACTGTCAAAATCAATTTTGTGGCCTGATTCCATAGCATGTAGACCTATGGCTGATGATTTTTCAAGCTCTTATAGTTCAACTGGATTTCTCCATGATCGAATAGAGGCCCACGGTGTTCAACTCTTCTGATTTTGATTTCTCGAGATGTTTGTCCGATGTATACCGCATTACATTCCAAGCACTTTATTTTAAAGACACAATTACATAGAGAGTACTTAGGGATTCGGTCTTTTATGTGGACAAGGTTGCTATGTAGTATATGAGTCTGATGTTTTAAAGGTAACTCTGATGTCCTCCTTATTGAGTACTCTTCTCATATCGTTCGGCTTCTCTTATCTACATAGGATGACAACTGTTGTGACACATGCTTTCGGAATGCGTTTTCGGTCATACTTAATGTCTGTGTTGATTTTGTTGATGAAATTCCTTGGGTAGTTGTTTTGCTTGAGAGTTTCAGTAATGTTTGATATTTCTTCTTCTTTTTCTTTCTCATCCGTTATCAGAGAGTGCACTCGTCTAAGAAGACTTGAAACAACTGAAATCTTTGCGCTGATGGGGTGTGATGATTTGAAGTCTAAATATTTATTGGAGTGGATTTACTTCCTGAATATGGATATACTAAAATGTCCGTTTTCCTTTCTCTTAACTAGACAGTCTAGAAATGGTATTTCACCGACGTCTGATTCTACTTCCAAAGTAAACTGGATACCGGGGAATAGATTGTTCAGTTTCTCCTAGATTTAACTGCGTAGATCTCGTTTTAGCACAACAAAAGTATCATCAAGGTATATCAGTCAAATTTTAGGTGTGAGAATGGTTGAAAAGATGTTATTTTCGAATTTATTCATGGAAAGATCAGCGACTATTGGGGAAACTGGTGAACCCATAGTAACACTATTTGCTTGTCTGTATAAATTCCCTTTAAAATGTAAAATAATTACTTTCCAGGGAGAATTTTAAGCTCTTAATTGTTTCACTGGTGATTAATTATAATTTACCAGTTAGCATTTTATGATTTTATCGGATTCATTGTATGGAATAGTTATTTCTGCTGTTTTCTAAAATGCTGCAAACTTTCAACAAGAGACCTATCTCCGCAAGGAGAAATAACAATTCGTAGGCTATCTTTCTAGAGAAGACAGAGAAGGCAGATGCAGATGGCTAACCAACAACAACAACAAGCACCAATAACCACCGGTGGAAGAAATTACCTAAGCAGCATCGTTTCAACTACAGCCGGTACGGATAAAGATATCAAGACCAGGATCGGAAAGGCAACGTATACCTTTAACACACTCTGAAATCAGTGTGGAAATCTTCTGCACTCAGCATAAAGAACATGAATCCTGTTTGTAATGCTAATGTCAATTCACTTTTGCCATATATGGTTCAGAGACTTCGGAAATCATGAAAAGCCTTTCCAAAGCCAGCTTTCTGCAGACTTTTATCAACAGCTGCCTTCCCACCATACTGAAGATCAGATGACATGTCAGGAAAGATTAACAACAACAAGGAAATTTGGGAACGAACTAGCCAAGAACCTGTTGTTCAACTAATATGTCGCAAAAACTGGAGGTGGATAATCGGACACATGTTGAGGAGACGGTTGAGTAACACCAAGTGGCAGGCAAACCCTCGAGCGGAACCCGAATGGGAAACGATGAGTCGGACGAAACAAAAGCTTTTGGGCAATCGTAGAGCCCACCAAGAAGAACTGAGGATAACAGACTGGAATAGGGATGTACTGCTGAAGCCCTATGTTCCACTCGGGACCCCAGGGAACAACAATAAGACTATCTTCCATACGAACAGTCACGGAGGGAGATAGAATGTAAAGCGGGAAGGCTGGTAGTACTGAGATTGATCCTCCAGGTATCTAAGGGTGACCGCTTAATTTTGCATCCGAAGCATGGAGGATGAATGTATTCAGTCCGAGTGAATCAAGGCTATTCTGACCTTGGACTATCTGCAGGAATTGTCGGTGTGATTCTCGCTGACAGTGTTTTGATCCCACCTCTTGTTGAAAATATTTTACTTGATTCTAAAGTGATTTTTATAGGTGGATTCAAGTAATTTCGTCCTACAGTACTTGTTTTGTACTAGAAACCTATCTAATTAAATTTGAGATTTTCCCGTCGATTGATTGGAACGAAAAGCTCGGTCTCAGGTTGACATGTTGGCTTCCTGTGCGGATGCTTCAACGATGTCTGGACATTTAATTAGAATTTAATTGGTGGATGGTGACTAGCAGTGGAATCCAAAATGGGCATTTCGTCCTATTTGGGACTCGTCATCTGGATGTACCTGCATTTCCCAGTGAGTGATGATTTTCCCACCGAGGTTGCATAACGGCACTGTTGAGGATAATTTTGAGTTTTCGATGTTATTAGTGTTGAATAGAACCAGAAATTTTATGACGAATGACTGTTTTTTCCTGTCTCTGGAGCACCTTGTGACTGTGAGTGGTTCAAGGGAGTTCCTGGGTTCAGACTACAACAAGTCGACTTTGGTCGTCATATGGTTGCCAGCCTCACCCCTGACCTTCCCTCTTTGTCAGGTTTACTACTGGCTAAGCGAGGTGTAAGAGTGCGTAGACTGGGAATCGAACCCTAGATCACATAAGTGGTTGGCCAGTATTCTGCCACTGGACCGCCGTATACACACAATAGCTACTAATAAGTAAACGCAAAATTATACCTGAGACGGTATTCTAATAGACAACTGAATTGAATGATCTAAATGACAAGTAATTAGTATTTTTTCCTTCACGTTCCCCAGTGGAACATAGGGCTTCAAGCTAGTGGTTTGAAGTTTCTGTGTTTATTTTACAGGATGGGGTTCCTAGCCTCATGTCCAACCTTTCCTCTTTACCAGCATTATTTTGGCTCAGTGAGGTAAATGAATGCGTCTGTGGCTGGGAATCGAACCTCGGACCATGTACATGGTCGACGAACGTCCTAACCGCTGAGCCACCGACGCACATCACTATGTAACATCAGTTATTAATGGTTTCTGCTCCCATTCTCTCTCTCTTTCTCGACCTTACGATGCTGTTCAAACAGATGCATAATCATATTAGCAATACGATAGAGGTGGATTACTGTCTTGTTTAGAAAAGGAATCTATTTATTTAATTAAAACTAAATTAAATAAATTGACCAATAAAATTGTTTACTTACCTGTTGTATAACCAGCAAATAGACGATCAGGAAATTCACGACGAATATGTAAACAAGTTGGCCAGCCTAACCAATGAGGATTTTCTGTAAATAATGAATGAAATAAAATACTCATAAAAATAGTTTAAGTACAAGAAGTCATATCCAACTTAAGTTTAGTTGTTTTTTTTTTCTATTCTTTTACGTTCCCAGTGGAACATAGGGCTTCAAGCTACGTGCTTGAAGTTTCGGTAGCAGTAGTGTTAATTTTTACAGGATGTGGTTGCTAGCCTCATGCCGAACCTTCCCTCATTCCCAGTTTTATTACTGGCTAAGTGATGTAATGAAGTATGTTGGCTGGGGGTCGAACCCCGAACCACACGCGTAGTTGGCGAGCATTCTACCGCTGGGCCATCTATTAACTACTTAATTTTAGTACTAAGTGACAATTCTCAGCAAGACGTATCTCTCTATTTCGAAAGATTTATATGCCATTCGTGAATTGAACCTTCAAATTTGCCCTTAAATTACTCAGGCTACAACTCATTCACCATGAGATCATAAAATAAGAATATGAAATATGGCTCCTTCATGGCTTTGAAACACGGCCATTGAGAGTGGAAGACATGAAAAGATTAGCTGTCTTCGATCATAGGTGCCTGTGTTCTATCCCCCATGTGAAGTGGTATAATAGGGTGAGCAATATTGAGGTTAGGTCTCCGTCGAGTGCTAGGTAAAGAGGGGAAGTCAACAGACGAGACTGTGAAGCTACATCGACTGAGATGTTTAGGACATATGTTACGTATGCCTAGCTATCGCCTTCCTCGACCTACGGGCAATGTTAGCTGAAATAGGATGGGTCAGGTTGGAAAAGATCTAGCGACGGTCAAACCAAACACATGGCTTCATGAGTCAATGAAATCCACAACAGTTAGTTTAAGCCACATAGACTTCCTGGTTGGGGTCCTCGGGACGGTAAGAACCAAAGTAGGCTGAAGACAATCGGTAATATGGCTGAAAATCGTTCTGTGATGGAGAATGTGCATCTACTCCTTGTGACTTATAATTTCCAATGAAACTATATTGCTCTTCGTTATTACTATTCTTTTTGTCTTATATTCCTGTCTGCTGTCTCTATTATGCATTTCTTCTACTTCTACATTTCTAATTTCTTCTGATTTGTGTGCTACATGGAGTGTGGCGGCTTGAACAACTGCACATCAGTCCAAATTTCTACGTTGAAAACAAACAGACAAGATAACACTTTGTTCTAATACCACCTGGTTAAGCATCTGTGAACCTATTTAAAAATGTAGGATTCATTAACCTACATTACGAAATGTATATTCTCACAGGGATTGTATGATTTACAATAGGACAACTTAGTCGTTATTATTATTCGCCTAGGTTCCGTATGGGACATATGGCTTCAAAAGCACATCTCCATTTTGTCCTGTTCTCTGCAGTCCTCTTTAGACGTTTCCACGATTGCCCATAGACTCCCATCTTCCTCCTCCTCTGATCTCTCCATGTCACCCTTATACCACCCGTGCCCAACTGATCGCTTTCCATTCGGGTTCCACTTGAGGGTTTGCCTGGCGCGTGATGTCAATCAACGACCTTTCTCAGCGTGTGTCCGATCCACCTCTAATTTTATCGGCATATATGTTGGATCAGTAATACTTTCTTGATTGGTTTGTTTTCAGAGTCTTGTGTAGCTAATTCTTTCTGGCCATTTGGTCGTCATTATGGACAAAGGAGGCGTCTGTTGATAAAAGTCTGCATTAGCCAGTTGGGAATGCTTTTGGTGACCCGCTAAGTTCCTTATCATATATAGAAGTATTGACTTAACGCTGAGTGCAGCAGATTTCCAAACTGATTTCAGTGTGAAATAGAACACCGTAAAACCCTTATAAAGAAATAATTTTCACTCCAACTTATTAAAACAAACAGTTCAACGACTTCACTATCGAACTGCATGAGTTCCTCACCATCCCTTTTCATATTACAGCCATCTTGTTTCAATAATTTAAAAAATAAACAGTAAAATGAACACCCACGGCAAAGGGAATGAGAAATAATAAAGCAAAGTCAAGTGCAGTCACAGAAGTAAAGTCAAGATCAAACAGAATTTGTTCAATAGTGTACTAAATTTTAAATTTTATCTCATTTGTCAATTAGACGGTAAAAGCAAATCACACCAAGATAATTGCTAACCCAGTGAATGACATATAGCTCAAGTTTTGAATAATGCAAAAATACTGAAGCACACACTCGAACAGTCGGAATGTGCAAGTAGATGCTAGTCAGACTTAAGACTTCACTCTTTCCAATCATCTTCAGTGTCAAGGGAGCATAGAAGGAATAAAAGCTTCTGATAGGCGCAAAACTTGCCAAAGATATTGAAATCAATGTAGAAAACTTCACGAAATAAATAGAAACCCCTGCTATATTTGGAAGTGTGTCATCAATTTTTCAGAATTATTCACAATAATTTGCTGCTGAATACAAGTAATCCTTCAGTAACAACAGTGGTTGAGCACTGACTGTATTCGAACGTTTACACTTCTAAAGAATTGGACTTTACCCACGCATATAGCAAGCTGCTTGCAACAGAGATTTTTAACAGATCGGTTAAAATCGCGGCATAATCAGAAGTGTCTAAGATCAGTGTATGCCCATTTCGGTATCATCTCACACTTTCACCATCATCATTAACACAGACTCCTAGATACACGAACTAAGAGATGAAAGCAGATACAAAACTTAGTTGAGTCAAACAAAATTACTTTGTAGTGCTTGATTTCAATCGTGAATGTTTTGTATAAACATTGAAGACTCTAACGCAGAAATACAAACAAATTTAATTTATAAGACCTCCTCGTATTATTTCACATCTATAAAGAGCCACCGATGATCATCATTCCACTCATCCTCACATAAAGTAAGGCTTATGGACATAACTATGCCTTCAAATGTGAATAGTCCGATCAAGTAAATACTATAATCAACGGAAACATGAAATACACTATACTACTGAAATAGATGTTGAGTATGTTTATAGTGAAGAGGAAATATAAGTCCTAAATGCAAAACAAGAGGCCTATATTAATTTCAATTGAGAGATAAAGCTAATGAAGAATGTAGCCGAGCACAACATCCATTAGTGTTGAAAAACAGTACTACTTTCGATGACGAAGTATGCCTGTTGACAATCGAATTACGATGACAGTTTGTAATAACTAGAAGACATGAAAAGACTAGCTGTCTTTGATCATATGTGCCTGCGTTCTATCTCCCATGTGAAGTGGTATAATAAAGTGAGCAATATTGAGATTAGGCGTCGAGTACTAGGTAACGAGGGGAGGTCAATCAACGAGGCTGTGAAGGTACCTTGACGGAGATGGTTAGGATATGTGTTACGCATGCACACCTAGTCATCGCCTTCCTCGACCTACGGGAAATGTTAGCTGACATAGGGTCAGGCTGGAAAAGATCTAGCGACGGTCAAACCAAAACACGGGACCAGTCGATGAAATCCACAACAGTTAGTTTAAGCCACGCAGGAAGGTGTAGACTGGTTGTGGTGTTCGGGATGGTAAAAACCAATAGTTGGAAACAATTGGTGATATGGCTGAAAATCGTTTTCAATGGCTGGCGAAGATGCATCCCCTCCTTGTGACTTATGATTTCCAATGAAACTATATTGTTCTTCGTTATTACTATTCCTTTGTCTCACACCTCTGTTTACTGTGTCTATGATGCATTTCTTCTACTTTCTTCTCTCACTTTGTGTGGTACAAGGAGGGAGTGTGGTGACTCTAACTCCCGCACATCTGTGCAAAGTTCTGTGTCAAAAACAGACAGACAGAGACAGAATAACTGTGTGGTTTTGACTCCATAAAATATAGTCCAACATATATTTTACTAATAAACCTTTAGTAGGACAAAATTGAGATACAACTACAAGTTATAATAAATTTAAATTCAACACTTTCGACGCATAAATATACAACACCCTCAACCACAACAACAACAAAAAGCGTAACAACCTGTATAACAATACCTGACATAGAAGGAGATAATGTAAGATAGGAGTATTTTGTTGGTGTATAAGTAAATGCTGAAGCTGCTGAATTTTCACATCCAAAATTCATAGGACAAGTTGGTATAGACAACACGCGAATAAAGCCATCTTGACAGGCAACAATCAAATGACCAAGAACTCTCTCTACCTCTCGAATAGTTGTCATATATGATCCATGTAGACAAGCTTTTGCCTTTAATTCTTTAATACCTGAAAAGGGTGAAACTGGCACCCAACACATATCAATTACTCGACCCCAATCATGTGTAATAATAAAGTGAATTTCAGGCTTTAAGTTACTTGATCTGAGAATGAATTGAATAGGAAAAAGGCAAACAGTTAAAATGTGGTTAGGATGAATAGAGCAAAATTAAATATGTACATTTATAGCAAAGAAGAATTCTTCTTACTGTGGTTACCTTCACACTTGGGATGTAACTTACGTTGGTCAAACCAATAGATGACTAGTGAACAATAAAACTAACTGGTTTATCATTCAAATCCAAGATTATCCAACTGAATGTTGAGCGCCTATACCAATCATTGAGTCAGACACCTACTCGCTCCCTTTCAAACACAATAGTGTACTGCTCCACTACGGGAGTTTTAAGTGAAGCACCAGTGTCCAAGTGCTTAAATAAAACATTCTGAAACAATGTTACGAATGGCATTTTATTATTTAATTTATTCAAGATGGAAATTGTCAGCAAGGATATAGAGAAACTACGTCAATTCTCCAGTTAAGTCAACAGGTTGTAGCCTAGGTTCGTCGGTGGCACAGAGGTTAAGACTCTCGCCGACCATGCACATGGTCCGGAGTTCGATCCTCTGCCGACGCACACCCGATATTTATGGTCGGTCTGCAAAATTTGGGCCACCGATATCACATGCTGAAAATTCCATACCTGAACCAAAAATACAGTGTGGAATCAAGCTGTAATCAAAATCAAAAAAATTTTTTACCAATCCATTGTTAACCAAAGCATGAGGAGGAAATTTTCCATATTAAACTTTTCAGTAACAGGTACTGTACAGCATCTAGATGAATAGCAGTATTTCTCGTTAATATTCGCTCTTCCCATAGCAAACATTACTTTCAAATTAGTATAAAGAATAATCCAGCGATTATTAATTATCATGCTAGTGTTGTGAGTGTAGCAATAACATAGGTGTGCGACGGCAAATTCTAATTTCGTGATCTTCCAGCTAGAAGGAATCCCAAATCGAATAGTTTCTAGTCAATTCGCAGACCTAATATGATAATATTAGATATATCGAAAAAGATAATGCATAGTCAGAAAGAAGGGATTATACGAGTAAAATTGCAAATAAGGAGGCATTAATTTGTTTTAAACACGTCTCACACAGATTATCAAACAAAAGTAGAGAGGTTGCGGTTGTATGCCATAATGGAGGAATACACACTGACATTATTGCATTGATATATTAAACCTCATCTATGAGCATAGAGTTCAGAGTTTAAAAACTTTGCAGAAACACTTTTTTTTACACATGTGAGAATCTAGCTTACGAAAATCTGAAGCATCAACGGTAACTATAAAACTACAAAACCAAAACTATCTCTGCTCAATTTCTTAGGTGTGGTGAAACCACCACATGCTAAGAACTGGGGGACTGATTGGCGATGAAATCTCAGCACGGATCCGAAAAGCTCGAGCTGCTTTCGCTGACTTACACCATCTCTGGCGTAGGCGTGACATCCGGTTATCAACCAAGGGACGTGTGTACTGCTCATCAGTTCGCTCCGTCCTTCTCTATGGCTCTGAAACATGGCCAATACGCGTTGAAGACATGAAAAGGTTGACTGCTTTCGATCATAGATGTCTGCGATCTCTGTCTCACGTTAGGTGGTTTCACAAGATAAGTAATGTTGACGTTAGGCGTAGAGTGTTGGGCAAAGAGGGAAAATCAATCGACGAGGCTATAAAGTTACATAGACTAAGATGGCTAGGTCACGTGCTGCGCATGCCTAACCACCGCCTCCCCCGACGGGCTTTGCTAGCTGATATAGGTTCAGGTTGGAAAAGAGCCAGTGGTGGCCAAACAAAAACATGGCATCAATCCATGAAATCCTTGACAGTTAAACTGAGTCAGGTAGGGAGATGCAGACTTCCGGGTTGGGGCCCTCGGGACTCTAGGAATCAATGGCTGGAGACAGTAGGTGACATGGCTCAAAATCGTTGTCAGTGGCCAGCGCAGATGTATTCAGTCTCTGTAATCTTTCATATTCCTTTCTACAATTACCCACTCTGTTTCACTCTTATATTTGTCAAACTCTATTGATTCTCTTCACTCATCTTCTTGTCTACCTTGTGTGCCAATTGGAACGTGGCAACTCGAACTGCTGCACTTCGGTGTCAAGTTCTATGTTGAATCCAGACAGACAGAACTGGGGGTTGGATATTCTTATTGACATGATCTCAAATCTTTCACAACAGCGCAGATATATTTTACTTCTCATTAATAAAATTCTGAGTGTAGTCATATTTTATTGGATTCTATCCCCCGTAGACGTTTATCCATTGTACTATGATCACAATTCTGTTTTTGTTTGTTTTATGTGCTTTTCGAAATGTGGCAACTTGTACTGTTGCACGCCTGTGCAAATGTTTATGCTAATTCTCCGCTCAGCTTAGAGATAGACTATACACCCATTGATATCGGGTGTGCGTCGGCAGGGGGTCGAACCCCAGACCAGGTGCTTGGTCGGCGAGAATCCCAACCGCTGTGCTACCAACGCACACAATAGTACAACTCAAGTCAAACATTCACTTTGCTCCTGACAATAATAACAAATCCCTCAAAAGCAGTCAATAATCCCACTTTCACCAATCCTTGTGGTGCAGGCGCATAGTTTTATGCTCACCGGACGCTATACAGACGTAAAATCATCCCTTTAGTGCTTTCGCTAAAATCCTTATGACAACTGTCAAGAGTGAGCTTCGGGCAATAGTATCCATAAGTATTCACCATATTACTAAAATCCAAAGGTAGTGTGAATTTAATCAGAAACGTCTTATTAAATACCGCTTAAACAAACATTTGCCAGTAAACAACCAGAGAGTACTCCCACAACAAAACAGAGTCTAAAATTTATATTTTAATTGTCTCCCCAGCACTCGATTTTATTTTAAATACACATGAATTCAAACATAAAAAGAGGACAAAATTTTGTTCAAAAATGTTCAACTTATATGCAGCTTTTTTTAAATAAAAAGTAGACATACACTTTTGTTAAACCCAGAATTCCACAATTCCATATCTGTATTGTCCCTGCACCACTTTTCATATCATCAGAATACAGTGTATGTGAATCCGGTGTTAGAATTGAAGCTGTTGCGAGAAAAGAACACTCATCTCTAATTATATCAGATTCCAGTAGAGAAGACAGACGTGGAGGACACCAGGATAAACAAGTCACCTCCCCTCCAACATAAACCAAATTGGAATCTGATATAAAATGATTAAAACTGAAAATGACATACCATTATCAAATTCGAACCGTTTTAATTTGATTCGGTTCATTTGACCAGATAGATATATAGGGCTGATATATGGCTCAGGTAGGTAGTCTTTCTTAACGCTAGGCGATTACACAATGTAAACAAAGGCGAATGAACAACTTACTGGATGGGTGTTCTTATCCATGCCCCTGATGTTGGGAACAGAGCATTTTGCCGGCATATGAACTGTGGTTTATGTCCGCTAATAGGACATGAAATAATCAAATAAAGATTACCTGGGACAACACAAAAATGGGTTTGGTATATTACGGAACGTGAATTTTAATGCTTCTATCGCCTGTTGGAATTTCACAGGAGCTATAGACTTGGGATCACGATCTATACGTCCTCGGCATGCTCTCATATATCTTACAAATGGAGATCTTAAATAAGTTTTGTCATTTAAACCAGAACGGCGAGATTTTATGGACAATGGTCTAGGAAGTGGTTCTTCAATGACAGATCCTGTTGGTGATGAGGTTGATGATGGATTTTTCAAATCACCAGACACATCAGCTTCATTTTCGCTACTAAAATCACTGTCGTCTGTGGAAACGTCATTGTTTTCACTTTCAGCAACATAATCGGACGCTTCACTTTCGATGTTTTCAGAAATGGAACTATCATCAAAGTCTTCTTGAGTTGTTATTCCATCAATGGCCTGAAGGCATATTTTAGCAGATTCCCGACGTGGTTTTCCAGTAGCTGTCATCCTTTTACAGTGCCACTAGCTTTTTGAATCCTAATTCGTAAACAAAATGAGATGACGTGTTCAAAGGTTTATGCTACAGGACTTCTGTTCTTGCTCCGACTGCTTCACAGTTGTGCCAACGGTCAGCTGTTCAATTACATCCTGCGAAAGAATGAGGGTAAAAGTGCTAGGTAATTTTTATAATAACGATTCAGAAAACATTAAACGCCTTATAATAGTTTACAATATTCAGTCACCTACGCCCATAGCTCTGTTAAGGTTTTGCTAACAAAAATCAACAGCAAAGAAGTAGGAGTGGATATTTAAGAAGACCCACTTCTTAATTAAAGATCATTCAATACGGCACCCTAAAGACTGTGATTCTGCAGAACCGTGCGTTACAATAACGCAAATGATTTCGAAGCAACCAATTACAAACTGAAGTGGTGCAAAACGTTGTTGATAATGTAATCGGGAATTACACTCAGGAAGATAGTGTATGCTATAAGTTGTTGGTGTTCTTATCTACTGCAATGTTAGTCGAAACACGGAAACATGAACAATGACATTACTACTAGTTGGCGTGATAAAAAAGAACACACTAATGAAGACGACCAGAAGAAAATCAATTTGACATAACGCTGAGGAGAGGACTTGAGCAAGAAATACTCAATAGAAATGTTGTCACCTATATACGCATTATACAGTAGTTGGTAAAACTCCACACTACCTTACACACAAATGGTTTTATCCATCACCACGTGAACTGTTACAGATTATTCACGGATCTCAGCACAAACACTTATACCACCTCCAGAGAAGAGTAGACACTTGTCTTATAAGCTTTAGCTAATCGGTCATACGTTCGAGTTCCGCTACATCTACTTCAGCCTCCATTACTGGGTAGTATCATCAGCCCCATACAATAAGTGTAGCTGTAGGCCTGATATATGGAAGATCTCTTCCGAGTAATTGGGTTCCAGCAACACTCCATACAGGGCAGCTTTAAAAGCGGAATACGAGCTATTTACGGGACCCAAAAGGATATGGCACGTAGCACTCTCGATGAATACAACAGGATATAGTTGAATATTCGCATTGACATACCAGTGAGAAACTGTGGTTCATTTTCATTGGACTTTTAGCAACCAGATCTTCGTTATAATTTCTTTTCTAAATACGCTCACTTTCCCTAAGTTGGCTTCTACACCATCAATGGTTATTATAGATACAACTATCAATCGGTAGTTATAAGTAAAACCCTTCGCCTGGACCACCGTCGTACAGTTTGGCCAGTTAACAAACTGACACCTTGTGTGGTCTATCCACAAGGATATGCACAAGGAAAGTACGTTTCTACGGAGGAGTGAGTTATTCGGAGAGCTCTAGATTATTAAAATGAGACGAGCACTAAAACTTATGTCCAACGACTTCAGTGCAATGTGCAATATGTTTTCATGCAACAAAGGCACCTTATTCTCTAAACATCTTAGGATCTCACATAATTTAGTAGAGTACACTGCAATGCCTCACATGGCACGTGCCATCATTTTTTGTCAGCTTAACTGAATCTAGTCATCAATAAAGTTTTTTTGGGGGGGGCGAAACATACCCGCTATATTAACGAGAGCGAGGATGAATGGAAAAACCCCAACTAATTGAATGCACAATAACGGAAACCTAACCAAGCAAAGAGAAAACCGCCCACTGACCTTCAAGTTGAAAAGTAGGTTAAGGCCGAAACCCACAGTCGAATCAACAAAATGAAAAGTATGTACTTGGTTTTTACTCAAAAACATTTCAAATGAAATAGTCGGATGAAACTTTCATAAACTTGAGAAGCCACCTTCACCATATAGTATTGTCACATGCTAGTGCACGTATAACAGGGATCGAATGATTTTGTCGACTAATGCGCCTAGCTAGGTCTGTCATTCTAGACCTTGCTAGACTGTTAACCAATATACAGTATCTTTTTCAAATGCAACTGCAAACCAAACTAATTTATTTGTGCTCGCTTCTTGGCTATAAGGTAAAGGTTCCTGGTGTCCGGCTAACATCCGCTTAGTTCATCGCACCACTCGTTATCTCCTCGAAGCTCTAGTTGACTTCAAGGGCAATGATGCTGGGATTGATTATGTGTGTTTTGTAGTATGCGGTGTGTTAGAACTTCGATACTACTGTGATCGAGATCGATCCTATCACCCGTTAGTCAACCCTTATTGTCGAAAAGAGAGATAATAAATGTAATTAGTGCAAATTATGTAAACCTAAAGAAGGAAACGCACAAGCAAATAGATTATGAAAATTGATAATAATACGTATACACAAAGGAAATGATATAAGAGAGTGAATAGGCAGATCATTCGGAAGGGTAAGGCATGAAAGAATGAGTAGTAAAAGGTGTGTACCCACCAATAGTCTGTACAAGTCTTAAGAGGACAGACAGTTTGTACGCAGTCCCTGTGCCACTGCACGATTGTATTGCCCCTCTCAAAACTTTCTTCAGACGACACATTGGCCACATCTGCTGCTAATGAGTGCCAGGGGCGGAATTTCCCAAGTAAGATATGGTTGCGCGCTGGAGTCTTTGTTCTCTGACGCACTGTTCTTCGTGGGTTGCCACGAGGAAGCCAACACATACTTAGCAGCGCAGTGCTTTTGTTTAGGTGATTATGTTACTTTGTAATCTTAAAGGTAATATCTAAGTCATTCCTAAGTTGACGGTCTCTGGACAGTGAAGAAACCTAGTTCTTTCATCTCTTATTCATTTAGTCTATTTTGGAGACGCATCACTGCTTTGGGCTCTTTTCAAAAGATCAGTGACCCTTCTGGGTGACGAGTGAGCTGTAATGTTAGGCATTTCAAAGTGTTGTCTCATATGTATTTTGCATACGCCTAGAAAGAGCTCAGCAGCGAGAAAATCTGATTCTCTATGTGCCTTCACAAAATCACTCGTGTAACTCACACCTGTGTCCATCTTCTGTGCGATTGTATGGCATATCCCCTTTTTGAAGTGGCGCCACCAGCTTCACATTGTCGGCACATGCGCAGCTTAGTTAATTCGAATTGGAGCTGGTTGTCTAGACAAGTGCAGTTGACCTGATTTTTGTGCTAATTTGGCTTTAGTTAGGTTGTGAAAAGTATTGTTTGATTTTATTATTAAGCGTGGGCGTATTGTCTGTGTTGCAGAATGCTTATTTTTATGGTTCATGCAGTGATTATTTGGTACACCGTGTGTCAGCCAACCCTCAGAATCTGTCACTGACCAGCTCTTACTATGCCGGACATCACGCTGTCCCCGAAAGACTTTCAGAAACAATTTGTAATAACCAACGAGAAAAACCGGAACACAGATTTGCGACACGAGAATCAAATAAAGTACAATTATATTTTAATAGTTTACACACAATGATAAGTTTTGTTATTGGTAATATTTCGAGCAAAATTACTGCCCGTGTTCACACCACTGTTGGAATTGTTTTATTCACACATTTATGATTTGTACTCATATATATAGTTCATTATTATTATTTTTTGCTCATTCATGTTTTGTGTGTGCATATGTGTGTTCAGAATTATACTCCACATTCATTCATGTGTTTGTATTTAGAATTATATTCCAAGTTGTTGATAGTTGTACTGAGTCGCCTTTGTTACATGTATCCGGTGTGACTTTAAAAAATATCGATTCTGTTATGAGTCTTTCTTTCCATTTGTTCATGTTTGTTTTTAGAATACACACATTGTCCCAATCGATATTATGGTTTTTGTCCCATGCATGTGCAGCCATCGACGAATTTTTTTCAAGATTTTTGTAAGCTTGTGTCCCTTTTGCTTGACCTTTAGTTAGGCGTTTATGTTCATTCACTCTTATTTTGAGTGATCTGGACGTTTGCCCCACATATTTAGTTGGACAGTCAGCACAAGATAATTTGTAAATCATATTGTTTTTATCCATCATTTTTATGGGATCTTTCAGTTGATTTATTTTATTTTTGATTAGATTTGTCGGTTTGAAGGTTGTTCGAATGCCGATATTTTTGAGGTTTCTTTGTATTGCCTCTGATGTACCATTTTTATATGGTATTGCGACTGCTTTTTTCCATTCTTCTATTTTATTATTCTCCGGTTTTACCCTCTTTTTTCTCTTTTTTATATTATCTTTTATAAATTCTCTAGGGTAGTTGTTTTCGAGTAGCATTATGAATAGGACTTTTATTTCTTCACATGTAACAAGGGCGACTCAGTACAACTATCAACAACTTGGAATATAATTCTAAATACAAACACATGAATGAATGTGGAGTATAATTCTGAACACACATATGCACACACAAAACATGAATGAGCAAAAAATAATAATAATGAACTATATATATGATTACAAATCATAAATGTGTGAATAAAACAATTCCAACAGTGGTGTGAACACGGGCAGTAATTTTGCTCGAAATATTACCAATAACAAAACTTATCATTGTGTGTAAACTATTAAAATATAATTATACTTTATTTGATCTAATCCACAATGCTCAAACTTTTACTGATATTGACATGAGAATCCTTTATTCTTACGCCAATATGTGACCAACAATAAGGTTATTACACACAAGGTCTTAGAATAAATGTTATAACAACAAATCACTATAATAGTTCTGATAATTTTCTCTCTTTTACTGAACAGCGAACGGTGAGACGATGACTGCTGGATTGATGACTCCCGCGAAAATTATGGGGAAGTTTGGTTTGAGCAAACAACCATGAATTGATCGTTCAACCTTCAACTACATTGACACATATGAAGTAATCCCTATGTTATTAACTCCCTCATGCGGAAGAGAGTGCAGGACAATCATAATCTTTTGGTTCATGTGAAATTGCAATGCAACTCGATGCGCAGCAATTCTCATATGAATAAACTGAGAAATAAAGTTTACCTTACCTTTCAAAGAGCTTGTCTTTACTCCGAATGAGATGTATGTATGTGTGAGCCCAAATTTATCATTATTATATCCTTTAATTCCTAGAGGAACATACGGCTTCGGCTGTGCACCTCCATTGCCTTCGGTTTTCTGCCAACTTTTTCACCCCGCTCCAAATCTGCCCACATACTTTCATCTCCTCTTCACACGACCTCCTCAAAGTCACCCTCGCACTGACGACCAATTCGCCGCTTCCCTTTTGGGTTCCACTCAAGCAATGACTTGTCTAGTGATGTCACTTGATGGTTTCCTCAGAGTAAGGGTTCCAGTCCATCTCCATTTCTTCCTGCATGTTTGTTTCACAATCGGTTCTTGACTGCTTAGCTCGCAGAGATCCCACCCTATTGCTGATCTTTTCTGGCTATCTGGTCTTGCGTATTGTGCGAAGACAACTGTTGATGAAGGCCTGAAGTTTGTTTGAGATGCTCTTTATGACGCGCAAAGTCTGTGATCCGTATAGTAGCACTGGCTTTACATTGGAGTTGAAAATCCGGATCTTAGTTTTCATGCTGAGTGCTGTTGGTATACACACAGACTTGAGAGAAATGAAAGCTTGTCTTACTTTTCCGATTCTTACTTTGATATCCTCTTCGGTTCCGCCTGTAGTTGAAACGATGCTTCCAAGGTAGGTAAAAGAGGTTGTTTCTTTCAGGTTCCTCCCATTTATCCTGGCTGATTTTTGTCTGTTGTTGTTGTTGCAGTTGGTGTTGGCCAGGAATCTTCATCACCTCTGTTTTATCTGTGTTCACCTGGAGGATGTCCTATCTTTGATGCTTCTTCTGGCAACTTGTTGCTTTTCACTTACATATCTTCCAGTTTGTGGAAAATCAGACATATATCATCGGCGAAGTCCAGATCCTCCAAGTTTTTGTGTGAGTCCATTTTATGCCTGTTTCCTCATTTCCCGTTGTCTGTTGGATTATCCAATCTACTGCAATCAGGAAGATCATTGGCGATAGTAGACAGCCTTGCCTCACTCCCTTCCTCACTTCGAAGGCTTCCGTAAGTTTCCCGTTCTGGATTACTTGGCATGCAGCATTGTCGTATAACTGTTGGATGAGATGTATAATTGTCGATGGGACCCCGTAGTAGCGAAGTAGTTGCCAAATCACATCTCGAAGGCCTTTTCAAAGTCGATGAAGTTGTGATAGAGAGATGACTGCCATTCCAAGCTTTGTTCAATGATGATCCGTAGAGTGGCGATTTGATCAATACATGACTTGTTTCTCCTGAATCCAGCTTGTTCCGGTCGAAGTTTTTCATCCAGGTTGGCTTGTTTGATTCTCTCCAGGATGATGCAACTTCGTATTCTGCTTGGGATAGGCAGGAGCATAATTCCGCGCCAGTTTTTACATTGACTTAAGTCTCCTTTCTTTGGTAGTTTGAATAAATATCCTTTCTTCCAATCCTCGGGTACTTTGCCCTCTTTCCACACCTTCTCCAGCAGTGGTGTCGTCAAGTCCGCTGTTGTCTCTGGGTCTATTTTCAATGCCTCTGCTAGGATTCCATCTGGTCCTGCTGCTTTCCCAGCTTTTAGCATCTTGATTTCATTCAGGACTTCTGTTTTTGTCGGAGGGTCAATGTTCACTGGTAGTTCTGCTTCCGTTGTTGGTATTGTTGGGCGTGTTGTAGGTGGCGGTCGATTTAGAAGTCTTTCTAAGTGTTCAGCCCATTGTTTTCTTTGCTCCACCTCTTTGGTGATTGACTTTCCATTGT